CTGGTCTCTGTACAGATATCTGGAGCCTCCACCTGGGTCACCGGGGCAGCGGCCAAGCTCACCTGCACACCAAACAAGGCCGAAAACATCGCGGTCACCTACGCATGGAAGAAAGCTGGCGTGGCGATAACTGACGAGACAGGCCCCATCCTCGTCGTGGCCACCCCACCTGCAGCCGGAACCCACACCTACACATGTGACGTCACGCCATTCGGGGGTACTATGAAGTCAGGAGCCATAACCATCACAGTGCAAGGTGAACCAGCGCTCATGTACTGCTCCATTTAATACTACGTTGTTTTTTTCCTTGTTTTGTTAAAACAGTTTTGAGGAACTCCGTGAGGGGCGCTGATTTATAAACCTATCTTGGTAATCTTGACCTTTCAGACAAAGCCTCCTAGCATGGAGGTATAACAGGAGAATATGATCTCTAAAAGGTAACTTTAATTTTTTTGTTTAAGTCTACGGTTACCACGGTAACAGCGGCCGTATTGAAAATAAACAGCTTTCATAAAAGTAAAAAGGATATTTTATTTACCAAGGTACATGGATAGATAATAACTCAATAAAATAGTTAATACTGTTGCTATCTTGGATATCTTGAATAGGAAAAAAGTCTGAGATGGATAACTGACCTACCCCTTCTTGCCTCTGACTTCGATTACATAATCATTCATGTTATTCACTTATGAATGCTTCGAATTGATTTTCCACCTGTGTAAAGTTATGTTATAGTGTGAAGAAAAAGCTCATTGTAATCAATTGTGAGACATCGTGGTGGAATCAGGCTCTCGTCAATTTTTGAGCCTGTGGAGTTATTGGTATCATCTTAAAGCTTGTTCACCTGTCTTTATTTGTATGAAAAAAATATCCATTTATCTTGAAGACAAGTCGAGATACTTGCGAATGAAGGAGGTGGGGGTCACCTGTTTTTAGAGGTAAAATTTGTGAGAAAATGCCCACCAAAGATAAGTAATTTCCATAGCTTAAGAGTCTGTGGTAACTGAAATTTTTTATTTTTAGTACCTTTAATCAATGTTTTTCAGAAAAATCCACACAGAAAAGAGTTCTTCAATGGGTATGAAAGGTGTTGAGCAAAAACACAAAAATTTGATTAAAAATTCAAAAACCTGCGGAAAAATGCAAGTTTCTTCACTTTGATTATTTTGACGAGAGCCTGATTCCACCACGCTGCCTCACAATTAGAAAATAACAAAGTATATGAGAAAAACTATCAAAAATTGAAGTTTTGAGGAACCCC